AAAGAAAGAAAACCAGAGGGCAAAAAGGGCATGAGGGCAGCATCTTACTCTGATCTCCTCTAACTTCACCAGGAGGGGAGAGAATCGTCATCAGTAGCCGGCATGCTGGCCCACGGAGCAAGAAAACTGCTTGTCTTTGGGCAGGAGGCTTGCTGGCTGAGTGGGATGCATCTAGGTGGACCTACTGACAGCACTAAAAGAACTTTGTAACACTTGCCCAAGCAGGGCAAAGGCCAAGGGCCAGAAAAGGCGTGCCAGAGGATATAGCAGAGAGGAGACTGTCCTGACTGAACAAACATACCCTGAGACTTTTCCTGAACATGAATTGTAACCTGTTACTTCCCTAATAAACCCCATAATTGTAAGTATTATCTATGAGTTGTGTGTGGCCATTGCAAAGAATTATCAAACCCAGCAGAGAAGAAGTGAGTGCCATGGGAGGGATGGCTGGTGGTAGAATTGGCAGAAAGACTGGATGGTGATGGCGTGTCTTGTCTCATAGGAATCGACCTTGTGCTGCTTATGGTGATTTTGTCTTCCCCATGTGAAGTGGGAAGAGATCAGAGAAGAATGCTGCCCCATGTGCTGTTTGCATAGAGTCTACAGAGCTCAGAATCTAGACCCCAATTTGGTGTTTATCTGAACAAAACCACCTCTGAGAATACCTTTATGGATTAATACACTAGTGGTACTGGTGGACTTCATTACATCATGCCCTCACCTATACTTAAATGTTTGATTTATCATTAATTCCTTGAGGAGGGGATAGAAGCCAGCAGCATTTAAGAGTGCTATGAGTCAATGGAAATAAATTAGAAATGAAGATGAAGTCATTATTTCAGAAAGTATAAAGTAAGGATACAGGAGCACATCTCTTCCTGCAGAGCTGTATAAATCAAATAATGCTTTAAACAGATTAGGAAAGCTTTCTAAATAATAATAATAGAAACAGTAACAGCAGCAGTAGTAATATTATTAACAGCTATCATTTTTGTTTATTATATACCAGCCACTGGACTCAGCACTTCATATGCATTGATATCCCTGTGATGTAAATATTATTATTGCCATTTTACAGATAAGAGAATTGAGTCTAAGCCCATTGGCAAGGTGACCAAATATCCTGATGTGCACTGAAGTGCTATGCCCTAGGAAACTCCTTAGTCCTGCAAACCAGGATGGTTGGTCACCTGACTTATGGGCTGGTATGTGGTAGGAACTATCTTAACTATCCAACCCCCACTCCCTTTTATGAGATAACTTTCCTCTATGTTGTACAGTCTATTATAGAGTTTCCCATGCTGAGTTAAAAGAAGGGTATGACTGATATCTTACAAAACAAGATATCTACATGTAGTTTCATCTCCTTTTATAAAAAAAGAAAGAAAGCACTCTACAACATCAAGTATCCCCCCAGAAAAGTAAAGAAAGCATACTTACCTTGACCTCAAACTCGAAGTGTTCATCCTTTCCTTGTCCGCAGAGAACATACCGTGGAATACTAATTTTAATTGGGTCCTTCAGGTCATATGAATTTGCTCCCAAAGAGCGAGAAACCATCCGCTATCAAAGGCACATCACATAGAGAGAACAAAGAGAAACCAAGATTACTCCACTGAAAATATTCTGCTTGGGTAGGAGGGAGAAAATGTCTTTTAAGTAGAGAAAAGAGCATCAAACCTGTAGAATTTATTTAGAAAAATGATCGTTTCCTTTGAAAGTAAAATGCTAAGCCTTTCTTGTAACAAAAGACCATTCTTTAGGTATACCATCCAAGAAGTTAGTGCAAAAGCAGTTCAAAATGTTGTTTGGCTTTGAAGTTCCTTCCAATTTATAAGTACAAGTAGAAAAAAGGGACAGATTATGTATCCGGGCTTTTAAAAAATCAGTGTAAAACAGATTCCTTTTTGAAAAATCTTGACCATTTGACAAACTTCTCTCTTTTTTTTTTTTTTTATGGTTTATCACACTGCTGTATATAAAAATGCAAAATAGTTTATTCAAATTTACTTTATTTTTAACTTCAAGGCATTTTTATAAGCCAATATTGTGTGGAAGGCTCTATGTCACAATTAAAACAAATTCCAAGTATTTTCTTTTGGTGCCATTTGATTAATCATCAAGTTGGTCTGGCAAATATTAATGATGTGGATGGTGGAAAGCA